TTGCTACTATATCTCAGTAGTATGTGTGTATCCTGGAATATGCAAATAAAGATTACAAAGAGATGTAATCTTAACCCAGAATGGCCATAATACAAAGTCAAAACTTACAGATCCTGGCAAAAATGTAGCAAAAGTAAAACTCTTATCACTACCTACAAGAATATGCATCAGTACATCCATTATTGAAAACAGATGAGAAATGAAAAAAATGGAAATAAAGTCTTTGTAAATAGGGAAGGGTGGAGGGGGTGAAGAGAGGGTTAGGAATGGGGAAAAAATAAGAACCAAGATGCATTATGTAAAGGTACAATTCCCAATGAGAAATTAATTTTGTTGTATACCTACAATGTACCAATAAGAGAATTTAATAACCTTAAAAAATAAAAAAGAAAACAATGTGAAGATTCCTTGGGAAATTAAAGTAAAGGAACCATATCATCCTACTACCCTCAACTACATATTTATCAAAAGGAATTTAAGTCAGCACATCCAAGTGCAAGTCTGTACTCTTGTCTTATTTCAGCACCATTCTGGGTTAGATATGGAATCAATGAAGATACTCATCTCTGGATGAGTGTATAAAGACCATGTGGTAGATACACACAGTGGGATCTATGAAGTCTTATGCAGGCTACATTCTGTCTGTGCCACAATGTGGATGAAATTGGAGATCCTCCTAGAGGATATAAACCAAACATAGAAAGGTACATATAGTTTAGCTCATATGGGGAAGCTAGCAAAGCTGAGCTCATAGAACTAGTGAGCAGAATAGTGGTTCCTGGAGGACAGAGAGGGAGAGACTGAGATGAATGAGAAAATAAATTGCTCAACAAGTGCAAATCCACAGCCCACGGGAGGAAAGAATGCTGTGTAACACCACACATATGTGGATTATGGTTAACAATCTTGTATCATACAAATCAACATAGCTAGAGAGAAGATGCAAATGTGGTCATCATTATGCAGTAATAAATGTTTGCAGTGATCAAGGACCTATGTATCCAGAATTGATCAAAACACAAAGAACATGCCTGTAATCACAGCGCTTGAGAGGCTGAGGAAGGAGGATCACTGTGAGTTTAAGTCCAGCCTGGGCCACATAATGATTTAAAGGTCAATCTAGACTACACAGTGAGACCCTGACTCAAAACACACACACACACACACACACACCATACAAATGTACTAAAGTATGCTGTGGTATGTCATTAAAAAGTAGTTATTGTTAATGAAATTACTCAAAATAAAAATAAAAAGGTGTGGTTCACATAATGTTTACAATATAGCAATGTCTTGTGCTCTGCTAATCTTAAAGTTAAAATTAAAAAAATGCCTGTGTGCCATATGTAATCTACAATAGGGGGGAAACACAATTGCATTTCTAATATTTCTAAAAGCAAGCCTGAATAATTTTATGATACACAATAATATGTTTCTTTCTTTTTTTAACTTTTCATTGGTACTTGTTTGCAGTAGATAATGATTGCATTCCTTGCGGGGCATTCAAACATGTACATAACAAAGTCAAGAAAAATGTATCATCACATAAAGTTTTTTATAACACTGCCATAAATTTGGCCCGTGGAAAGAAAATGAGTATGTAACAAGGTAAAAGAGCTTCTCAATTTTATACAGAAATGATGTTCCTGCAAAAGGCATACTGCTTGTGATGTAATTAGCTCTGAACATTTTAAAGAAAAATTCCCCTTAGTGTGGCATCAGTCTGCCCCAGTGCACAGCCATTTATATTGACCAACATGAATAGCATTAAGTCCTACACACCCCATTTCCATCTTTGATGTGGTAAATTTATTGTTTCAGGGTCTTGGTTTAATCACCTTCAGGGATATTTCTCAGGTCAGGATGACTTTACAAACACATCAGAAGAGGGAAATTCCCTGTAGTGAGCATCTTTACATGGGAGTCCCTGAATTAATGGCCTCCCTGCACTAGCTCAGGTCTCAGAGGACCCCAGTCAGCCATGATCAGGAGCCCCCTACTCATAACTCTGTCTCCTGTCTGAATTCTGATCACTCCCACCTCGCTCTCCATTAAGCCCCATCCTCTGAAGAGAACCTGCCTCACTAGAGCTGGCCCAACTTTTCTCCACTGGACTCCCACTCCTGTTTCTCTTTCTTCCTCACCTCAAGGTGAGTGAGTGGAGGCCTGGTGTCCCTGAGCAGCTTGTCAGCATCCGCCTCCAGTGAGCCAAACAGACAAAGAGAGCATAGGTCCTTTCACTTACCTGATGAGCCAGGTCTCTTCTTGGTAATGGGGCTAAATTCAAGAAAACCACAGTGAAGTTATTAAGTAAATAATCTTTAAATTTGTAATTATTATTCCCAACACACTATCAATACACACATTTTCATGTCCAAGAAAAGAGGAAGATAGAAAAATCGAATACATTTTTAAACTCAATTGTAAAAGAAAAACCAATAGCAATGGACCCCACAAGGAGGGAAGATAAAACGAACGAGCAAGCATTACTCCTCTCATAGATGTGAAGCATTGCTCTGGATGTGAGGTAAAACAGCAATGCAGAATGGAAAACTTGTCACCCTGTGCTCTAAGTGACAGCAAAGGCAAAGAACTCGAGAACAGCTAAATTTTCAAAAAGTTTAGAGTATTGGATACAATTTGGGAGAAAAATAGAACAAAGTTTATATGACTAGTGAAAGAAATATCATTATGAATGACATTAATTTATGCATTCATTAAATAATTTTTAGAGACAAAACAAGGTGCTAGGAAGGCAGGATAAGAGGTACCTCATGTGTTGAAGACCTGAAAGCCACATGTGGGCCATTGTGATACAGCAGTTCTCCTCCCACATTGATTCATATGTACTATTGTGGATTATGCTTTTTTGTTAGTCTTTTATTGCTTATAAAGAAATTCATTTGTAGAATGGGGAAGTCACAAGTGCCCACATGCCTTCTGTTCTCATAACATGCTGTCAGTCCACTGAGTCTTCTCCAAACCCCTAGAGTGAGTGTGATTTCTTACACTTTAGTGCAAGAAGACTGGGAATCAAGGTCCTGGCACCCCCAGCCCAACTTCATCAGAGCCACTGTGTCTGGCTGTCATGACTGCATTAAGTAATTGCTACTCTAGATGCAAACACCGTGCCCTTTGCCATATGTCAAATGTCCACCCATATCCATGGCCCAAAGATCAAACCTCATTGTACAGATAAGGTTACTGTTCCTCCTCAGTTAGAGTCACTTATGTTTGATACTACTGACCACACTCTCTAGATGCTTATAAACATTTTCTTCAGTGCTGTTCTCTAGTATCCCCTTCATTTGGCATTAAACAGTATTTTTCCCAAG